AATGTCTGCAATGCTCAGCAGGATTTCCTCCCAACAAACCCCTCTGTAGGTGTGGAGAGAAGCAATACAAATTACAGCACATGAGATCTTTAAAAACGTGTCATTTCTCCTTTTGCACTGCCAAACAAATAGCTGATGGAGATTTCTAGGAAGCATGCTAACATGGTCTGTAAAGCAGCCAACCTGTCAAAGGGTGGCATAGAGGTGATGAGGGAGGGAGGATTCAAATTACAGTGTAAAGGGAACTCACCTCACAAATGACCACCCCCCCCCCCCCCCTTTCCCAGCCCCCCCCCCCCCCCCCCAAAAAAAAAAATCAATGGAACTTAGGCTCCGAACCCCAGAAATTTGTTAGGAGATCAAAAAATTCATCCTTCAGATCATGAGAACAAAAAGAAACACGATGAGTTGGAACTGGAGCTGGATATTTGGCCCCATTGAAGCCCATTGGAATTTCTTACAGTCAGTTAGCCAGTCACCAATTGGCCAGTATTGCTTGGTCCCAAGCACTCTCAAACTTTCACTTACGTGAAAGAGAACCAAGGGTGCTACCATCTTGTAGGAACTGGCATACTAGCTTCCATGAGAGCAATATTAGCTGTGCAGGTCTCATCTACATCATTTTTTTCTAATTTTCCACCTATATTGAAAACATTCAAACCTTAGTGTAGATAAGATAATAGCACCCACTGCCATTTTTACTACGAGACCATCTAGCCTTTAATTGAGTCTGGTACAGCTGCACTGATGGAAGGAGCAAAGGGAAATTTGAAATGAAAACTAACAGACACAGCCTTAGCAGAGTATTGGTTGGAAAAAGAAAAATTAAAGTCCTTTGAGGACAACAATGCGAGCATTTTCAGCTTGGAGTAGTTAAAGTACAGATGTCAGCAGCATATTTGCCAGCTAAATATGTACATGCTGTTCACCACTTTGCAAATACATAGAGAAATAATAAGACTTAAAACTAACCTAATTGTTACATCTTTCAAAATTGCTGTACTGGGAACAAGTGCCATTATGTAATTACTATAATTAGCCAGCATGTAATTTTTGTTTGTGTTTGTTTTGCTGAGTAGTGTTTTAGAAACATTTGATGTGCAAAAAACCTACCTCCTGAGGAATTAAAAGAATAAATAGCTACTATTTTCCTGTTTTTTTCCAAAACCAATCCTGTGTATCCCTTTTGCTGGCACTGCATAAAGAGCAACTAACAAACAAACAAAATGGTCCAGCTCTTCTTCAAGTCTAGACAAAATCCCACTAGGAACTGAATTTGTGCCTAGAGCTATTCCTGTTGCCAGGATGGAATATAAAGATACTGCAGCTTAGTAGAGTCCTTACATAAACAAAATATTGCTAAATCGATGTAATCCTGTTATTATATGTGTGTTCTCAAGCCAACCTCTCTGTGGTGCTGACTGCATAATACTATTAATATGCAGGGTCAGATCACTGAGAACTTTGTCCCTTATCTGTAAGGTATGCATGGCCAAGGGGGAGTGAGAATGTTTTTTTTTACTTGTTTTGACTCTGCTGACATGCTTTTACCCGTTTTTTTAACAGTTTGAATACAAGGGTCCAAGTGAGTTGGGTTTACATATGTTGGCCCTGCCTTCTAAAATTGTAAAATTTATAGAGGTATAGATACTATAAGAGAAAATTGGGTAAAGATTGCTGAGGGGTTAGCACTCACTGTGACTAATGTACAGGTCTACAGTTGAAGGACCTTCAACTCAGGAGTACTAAGGAAATTGAGTAGGTTTTTTTTGGGGGGGTGCATTTGAGGTGGTTTTCCTAAGGAGGTCAGATCACATTGCGTGGCATTGTGCAATGAAGGGTGGAGACCTGTCCAATGCACTGCAGACAGGCCCTCTTGGGAGGATCTCAGCTACACACCTATTTTATGGAGATGGGGGATTTCTCCCTATCTTTCTTCTTTGGCTTGTTGGTTAAAAGCAAGCGAGACTTGGTGGCATCCAAACCCCAAGACCCCCAGGCTTAGGGGTAGGATGCCTGCCATGGATTTATGAGCATCTGAAACTGCAGACTGAAGAGTCTGGGAGGGAAGATACCTGCTGGTGGTAACACTACGTGGACCTAAACGACTGAGTGGATGAAATTTGGAACCAATTTGACCGATTTGGCCTGAGACACAAATTAAAAAAAAAGTACTTTGCCATTTGTCTTTGCAAGAGTTAGTTTTGATGATATACAGATTATTCTAATGAGTGTAAACTGTCTACTTAAAAGTACTGAAATCCTTGGAGTATTAGCAGCTCACGTTGGAGCCTATGCCCGAAGAGATTGCTTCTGCAATGAGAAGTGGATACCGCCCCACTGGGGGTGGCAAGGAACCATAGTGTTGGAGTTCCCCACCTCCATGCAGTGTGCAGCACTAGTGGAATAGTGCTCCCCACTGATGTACACAAGGAGAGCATCAGTGGTAGCAGGGAACAAGAGCAGGGCCACAGAGGCGACTGCTCTGTCATTTTCCTTCCCCCTTCAAAACACCCTGTTATACTTTATAACAGTGGTTCCCAAACTGTGGGTCACAACCCCAAATGGGGTCACAACATCAGCAGATGGGCCTATGGGGGTGGGGGCTGTGGGTTGGGAGCAAGGAGCCATGCTGAGGAAATGGGGCCATGAATGACTGAGTCATGCAGAGGAAAAGTTTGAGAAGTTTTGCTTTATAATGTTGCCTATGAGTGGGGAAGTTTGTTCACATTGTAGAACCTGAGCAGAATTCACTTTCATAGGTTTCTGGGTTGGGACTCAAGGCAAGTTTTAACATTTTATTAGTGCTTGCTAAAAATCATAGTTATTTACATGGCTTGAGAGAGACTGAAGAGCCTGTAGGACCCAGCACACAGTAGCTACATAGCTAGTTAATGCTGATGCAATCTGGAGCATGCATTTAGTCACGCAGCTTTTGTTAGCCTAGGGTACAGCCCCCAATATATTTGTGTAAAACCCCTAAATTGAACCTTCTGTCGTCCCTTGCCTGGATTAGATGAATTAAAAAAAAAAACAAAAAACAACTTATGTCAGTTCCTTTAAAAGACATGGAAAAAAAATAAATCAGCATTTGTAAAATGGTAAAAGGCAAGGGGGGAGGAGTATCATCACTTTCTGAATAGTTATGATGTACAGTTCATTCACCAAGCCATCACTTGTGTTTTCATTGCTAGCCACATCACTTGTTGTGTTTTCTCTTGGGGCATGCAAATACGTGTTTATTCCCCTAGTCTGGGGTTAGCTTTCCAGATCATACATTCTGGTTTTTCTTATATAGCAAACTGAGTCCTCCCACATCCTAAATACTTGCTACCTTAAATGAATTTTTCTGAATAGTGTGAAATAGGGTTTGGCCACAGAGCCTGAGTGGGTAGAGCTCACACTGTCAATTTCCATGAAAAGGTGGGATGAGGGGGGCGCAGAGTGGTCCCCAAGACATTGTGAGGGCTGCCAAAGAGCCATGGCACCTGCGGCCCCATTGCTAGAGAGCAGCCCTGACACCCCTGCACCTCGGTGTAGCCAGGACATGCCACCCCACTGCCTGAGGGTGCCGCATGGAACTGCCTCCCCCCCTCAAATGGGCGACACCAACAGCTGTACCCGCTGGAGGAGCCACCCCCGGGTACAGACCAGGGGGGGTGGGGGGCAGCCGCGCACATGCTCAGGGGAGTGCGGGGCCCCACACACTGCACGCTCAAACACACACGGGGGCGGGGGCTGAGCTGAGCTGTCCGGCACACACTGCAGCCACATACGCTTTAAACCCTGGGCGCACCCCCATGCCATAAGCGCTCACTTACACGCACCCTGCCCCCCCGCCCCAATGAGGGCACCTCCCCACCCCTCAGGGTCTCAGCACGCCCTAATGGCACACCCCCATGCTGGTACACCCACACACCAGTCTTCTCCCCCACCCCCATGCTGGTAGACACCCCCATCTGGTCTTCTCCCCCTGAGGTCTCCCATGCAGGACATGCCTCCCTGCTCCCTTCTTTCCCCTGCATTCACTCTCCCTGGCTCCATGATCCCTGCCCACTAAGTATGGTGCTGTGACCTGCACGGTCCCCCACCTTTCTGAGGGATGTTTACAAGCACTTTGACTTTGCTGCCTCCAGATCATTTTTGCCACATGTACAGTGGATTTATGTAAAGGCCAGCTGAACCTGATGCAGAAGAAGGGATTGAGAGATTACTTGAAGAAAGATCATCCTACCATGTATCCGGATTTAAAGTTCAAGGGAAGGTGGGTGGGTTGTTTCTGGTTTTTTAAACAATCTGTTTTTGCACTAAGCTGTAACTAAGTTAGAGGTACAGATTTTCAGGTGCTTGGTACCCACAACTAGGGCCAGTTTCTCACAGAGCATAAAGGCCTCAATAGATACTCTGCTCCATGCTTGAGTGACTGCTTTTTTGGAAAAGTCTAGCCACAAGAATGTGTTTAAATAGTTAATGAAAACCACCGCTAGCATTAACAAATATAGGGTTCTAATCAGGAACATTTTTTTTAAATGTTTAAAAATATCTCAGAACTCTGGTTTCTATAGAAATGCTGTTTTATGTATTACCATCACACAGCTGTGCCCTCTAGGACAAGATCAGTCATAGTTTATGGCACTATAAAAACAATTAAAAAAAACCCCAAAGCAACTTCTAAAAGCAAAACATTAGTTATGATGTAAGTTTCATTCACCAAGACCAAGTATTCGCACATTGCTTATTGTGTTTTCTCTTGGGGCATGCAAATATCTGTTTATTCCCCCAGTACGGGGTTAGCTTTCCAGATCATAAATTCTGGTTTTTCTTATATAATAAACTTTTTTTCTTATATAAACAAACTGAATCTTCCCACATCCTAAATCCTTTAAAATCTCAGATACTGTTACTGATTTTGATTCCAATCCCTAAACTCAGCAGTTCTAATAATAATGAAAACACCCAACCTGTTTACAGTACTAATTTCAAATAGCTTTATGATATACAGCGCTTCTTCCATGGTGGTCACAAGAACACTGAGCTTTTATAAAGCAGAAAGCTCCAAAGCCAAAGGGGAAGTCATGCCACAGTTTTTGTTTTTAACTGAATTAGGACAATATTCAGAAGCCACACGCAGGCACGCACACTTAAAATTTAGTCTGTCAACTACAAACAACAAGTAGAAACCATCATTCAGAAGTATGAAGTTTCAATTTGTTTATAAACATATTTAATATTATATTTATTTACGCTAAATAAAAACAAGCTATCAGTATTAAGACTTACTACTGCCAAATGGAAATGCAAGCTCCAAAATGTTTCTGGATTCAGAAACCCTTAAAAGGAAAAAACAACAACTGATCCTGCCAGATGAAACTTAGGTTCCAATTGTTTTTCCAAGTCAAATTCTTTACTGTAGAGCTGACTGCTTTGAAGTGAGGCTTCCCAGCACTCCAGATTCTAATTTTATTTCAGGGAGCAAGTGGAGGGAAAAAAAGGTTTCACTTGTCATCAGCCTTATTTGACTGATGACAGTGAAATGAAATTACTACAATGACCCTAATTAAATTACTACAAAAAACGCACACATTTGATGGGATTAGCAGCCTCTTCCTAAAACACAGATTTGAAATAATAAAGGTTCTATGCTTCAGCAAGATGTGCCAAGTAGTCATGTCAAGCATCTGCTTGTATTATGCCAATTCTAGTCATACCCGCATGTTTTTTTATGTCCGTGTTTACACAAAAACCACTTAACATGTTTGGTTTGTTATGTAACTACTTAATTTCATCTCATCCTGGATGGATATAAAGGAGTAATTTAGAAGTACTTCTTTAATTCATAGATGTAAATAAATTCAGTGGTTTGCTTTGAAAAAGCTATATTGTTTAATTTTGTTAGGTTAGTGATGCTGAACCGTAATACTGTTTAATCAAATTATTTATCTTTCACTGATTTTTGGCTCATCAGTAGTATATGTCAAAGTGAACATTTTAATTAATATCAGCAGTATTATCCCTTTTTTTTTTTTTTTTTGCTCCTATGCTTTGTCTACCAGGATCTGTTGTTAATGGAATTATGTGCGTGTCATAAACAACAGCTTAGCAGCACTGTACTGTTTGCATTGCATGAAAAGGTAAAAGGGATTTCTTTTATGCATATCTTCATGAACATTTTATCAAATTCACCCATTTATTAGTCTTTATAAGCATCTCCTTTTTGCCCTTTGGACTATACTGATAATTAAATGGTCTGTGAGCTCAATGTATAGAATCTCAGAATCATAGAAAATTAGATCTGGAAGGGACCTCAGGAGGTCATCTAGTCCAACCACCTGCTCAAAGCAGGACCATCCCCAACTAGTTCATCCCAGCCAAAGCTTTGTCCAGCCAGGTATTAAAAGCCTTCAAGGACAGAGCTTCCACCACTTCTCTGGATAGGAAACCTGTTCCAGTGTTTTACTACCCTCCTAGTGAGAAAATTCTTCCTAATATCTAACCTAAACTTCCCTTGCTCTAACTTAAGACCGTTGCTCTTTGTTCTGTCACCCATCACCACTGAGAACATTCTAGCTCCATCCTTTTTCAAACCCCCCTTCAGGTAGTTAAAGGCTGCAATTAAATTCTTCTCTTCTCTGAACTAAATAAGCCCAGTTCCCTCAGCCTCTTCTCATAAGTCATGTGTTCCACCTTCAAACCATTTTTGTCGCCCTCCACTGGACTCTCTCCAATTTATCCACATCCTTTCTGTAGTGGGGGCCCAGTGGTGGATTAAGGTTTACTGGGGCCCTGGGCTCCAGCAGAGAGGCCTCCTGGTGCTGCTGCTGCCAAGGGTAGGGCAGGGGCACTGGAAGGGGTGACTACAGCAGGGCTAACGCAAACTTTAGGATGACTATAGCTCACCCCCAAGCCCACTAGCCCAGCTCCCCTACCAGGAAGACGCTAGCACTGTCCCTTGCCCATGGGGGAGGCTGGGTGGATCTGGCCGAGCAGATCTGGCCAGACTGGGGGTGGGGTGGCACATGTCTGCTTCTCCTTCCTGCTCCCCACCACCCCTCCTTGGCAATGCCAGAGCAGAGCTGAGTGGGGCAAGGGCAGATGTGGGCTGCTCAGGGCTCTCCAGGGCAAAGGCAACAGAACGGAGAGCCCCGAGTCCGCAGGGGGCACATGCTCCCCCATGCCTCCCCCCAGGGGTGCATGTAACGGCAGGGAGCCCACCCTACCCCACACCTCTGGTCAAGCTGCCCGTAGCTCTGTTCTGCTCCCCAGCCCAGCCTGAGGTTCCATGCACCGCCCTGGCTGGACAGCACCCCCAGCCCCTATGCCTGCCCCACTCCCTTCCTCACTGTGGGGTCCTCAACCTGCATGCCATCACACCCCTTCCCCCCCATATACTTACTGGAGGGAAATGCTTTCCACACTCCTCGGCTGGGCTCCAGGTCACATGCATGCAGGTAGTGCCCCCTGCATCTCATTCCCAGCAGCCCCTCACAGGCTGGAATTCTGCCCACCTGCAAAGGGAAACTCACTATTTCCCATGGGAACCCAGGCATCTGGCAGCCCCTAGGCCTGTGCATTAATCCACCTATGGGGGGCCCAAAACTGAACACAGTACTCCAGATATGGCCTCACCAGCCCTGAATAAAAGGGAATAGTCACTTCCCTTGACCTACTGGCAACACACCTACCAATGCAGCCCAGTATGCCATTAGCCATCCTTGCAACAAGGGCACACTGCTGGCTCATATTCAACTTATTTTCCACTGTAACCCCCAGGTCCTTTTCTACAGACCTGCTGCCCAGCCAACCAATCCCCAGCCTGTACCAGTGCATGGGATTCTTCCGTCCTAAGTGCAGGACTTTGTACTTGTCCTCGCTGAACTTCATGAGATTTCTTTTGGGCCCAATCCTCCACTTTGTCTAGGTTGCTCTGAATGCTAGCCCTACCTACCAAAGTATTTACTATTCCCCCCAGCTTGGTGTCATCTGCAAACTTGCTGAGGGCACCCTCTATGCCATCTTCCAGATCACTGATGAAGATATCGAACAAAACCAACCCTTGGGTGCTCCACTTGATACCACCTGCCAACTAAACATTGAGCCATTGATTACTACCCTCTGAACCCGAGGCTCCAGGCAGTTTTCTATCCACCTTGTAGTCCCATTTATCTATCCTCAGCTTGCCTGTGAGAATGTTGTGGGAAACTATCAAAAGCCTTGCTAAAAATCAAGGTATACCACATCCACTGGTCTCCCCACATCCACAGAGCCAGTCATCTCATTGTAGAAAGCAATCAGGTTGATCAGGTATGACTTGCCACTGTTGAATCCATGCTGACTGTGCTTAGAAATGAATTCCTTTAGGATCTGCTCCACGATTTTTCCAGGGACTCTAGTTCTCTGGATCCTCCTCCTTCCCTTTCTTAAATATGGGCACTATGTTGGCACCTTTTCCAATCATCTGGGACCTATCCTGATCACCATGAGTTTTCAAAAATGATGGCCAGTGGCTCTACAATCCCATCAGCCAACTCCCTCAGCACCTTCAAGTGCATCCCATTTGGCCCCATGGACTTGTAGATGTGCAGCTTTTCTAAATAGTCCCTAACCTGTTCTTTCACCACTGAGAGCTGCTCACCTCCTTCCCAAACTGTGCTGCTTGGTGCGGTAGTCTAGGAGCTGACCTTGCCTGTGAAAACTGAGGTGAAAGAGGCACTAAACACTTCAACCTTTTCTGCATCCTCCATCACAAGTTTGCCTCCCCCACTCAGTAAGGGACCCACACTTTTCTTGAGCTTCCTCTTGCTCCTAACATACTTGTAGAACCCCTTCTCGTTACCCTTCACATCCCTTGCTAGCTGCAACTCCAATTGCACTTTGGCCTTCCTGACTTCATCCCTGTATGCTCAAGCAATGCTCTTATGTACTCCACCCTAGTTGTCCGTCCAAGTTTCCACTTCTTACAAGCTTTCTTTTTGTGATTTAGTTTACTGAAGAATTCCCTGCTGAGCCAAGTTGGTCTTCTGCCATACTTGCTTGTGTTCCTGCACATCAGGATGGTTTGTCCCTGCACTTTCAGTAAAGCTTCTTCAAAGTACAGCCAGCTCTCCTGGACTTCTCTCCCTCTCAAACTGGCTTCCCAGGGGATCCTGCCCATCAGTTCCCTGAGCAAGTTAAAGTCTTGCTTTCTGAAATCCAGGGTCCTTACTGTGCTGCTCTCCATCCTTCTTTTCTTCAGGATCCTGAACTTAGCCAGAAGTCACCAGGTCATCTTGTTTAACTTTATCAAATAAAAATATTTCTGGATGTAATATATTTATGCAACATCCTTGCAACTGTGCTACAAAAGCAGCGCTTGTGTTGTTGTACTGTAAAAAGTGTTAGTTGTCTTACACTGCCAGTTCCATGTTTAAAAAAAAAAGTACTGAAAGCTAGAGGCTTCTGATGACTACATCATGCTTATCAATATATACCCAGGTTTTTTAAATGTATTGAAATCCAAGTTTCACATTTATACGTGATGAAGATTTTTAAAACTACCACACAGCTGCATCCTACCTTTGGAGGGCCCTCAAATCCTCATTTCTGCTGTTAAAGTCCCCATAGTACTTCAATTTCTGCTGATGGGCTTACATACAACCACTGAAAATCCTGACAGCACCAAGGGTTAGCTCTGGCATGTGTAAACCATAATTTCATTCTCACATCAGGCATTGCCCCACCTACCTTATCTGTAGGATCTAATCCAGAGGTGTTCTCAGAACATAGATGCCAAATTTGGCCTCGTGAGGAAAAGATAGCGTTGGTATCTTCCTTATGATAAATTTATTTAGGTAACTTGCATGAAATGTGAGACCCAGATACAAATTCTGAAATAAATCAAACAGAAGTGGTTGAATATTTTCCACCCACAGCTATATTTAATAAATATAAAACTGTGGCTGTACTTCTCCATGTCATACCATGCATGCAGCCTCGTGTTCTTTCCACAGCAGCTACTTAAATACATTCATACCCATGCAAGTTTGCATATAATGATGATGTTGGTCTTCCATAGTTTTCAGGCTACCTAGCAGATTTTACCCTGGATTTCAGAAGTTAATACAACACCTTTCCCTTTAACTATTTATTCTTTTTATTGATGTCCCTAGATTTGAAAGGCTTTTCATTAACAAGGTCTCACTATTGCAAGTGGCGTTTGCTCATTCTTTGGAATTCAATACGGATTTCCAACTGGGCTGCAAAAATGCCTGGTAGGTAATCCTCAGTACTGTAAATCAAGTTTATCACTACAGCTATCATAAAATAGAGAAAGAGCCTTCTATTTTCTGTTTTGACACTGAAAATACACTTAATAAATAACTTTGATTCTCTCAGTAAAAGAATTCTCTCTCTCTCTTTGACAGAACACTAAGTCATATGAGCTTATCACTTTTTTTCTTTAAAATGCTTCTCTAGACAGCTAGTTAATATTTTACTAGGATAACTAGAATTTTAAACAGTTCTTTTCCACTGTGTCATCTGATCATACATAGGTTGCTTACAAAGAATAAGGAGGCAGAAAGAGAGGTAGAAAAATGCCTGTGGTAAGTTACTTTAAATGCACTCTTTCTGTTTTATTCAAAGCACATTTAAAAGATCAGTTAATGTATGGTCAATGTTGTAAAGAGCTATAGGTACAAAGGAAGTATTAGAAAGTGTTTGAATTAGCACTGCAAGGCTATCAGAAAGAGGAATGATTAGTAACATGGTTGTGAAAGATTAGTAACCTCAAACTCGGCACAGGTAATCAACTTCCAGAGAAACTCTTCTTAAATTAATTGTTGTGCCTCGGATGGTTAGAAATAGATTCTACAGCATCTAGGAAATTACACTCTAAATATTTTTATTTTCCCCATAAAGAAAGCATTAACATTTCAATGGATTTTTCCATAAATAAATAGAGGGATTATCCAGTGCTATATAGTTTCTAAATGTTTTGATGCCAGTATTCATTAATGCATTCATTTTTAATCCCTGCATGCACATGTATATATAGTGTGGACTAGAGTTAGTGCTGTTATTGGTCCTACCACTGAGTCTCATTTCAGTCTGTGCCAAACAGACCACATTTTCAACACGTTGGACTCAATTGGCAGTTCCTTAGAGGAAAACTAGCAAAGGATTTGAACTTCTTGAATTGCCTCTCTTAAAAGTTTCCAGTTTCATATTCCATCATATTGGAGGAACTGAATTGCCTCTTTAGCACACATATTCCTCAAATTCGTTATGGAAGTCTAGTCTAATCTATTACATATGTTCCTGGGCCCTAGATTCCCTGGCAACAATATTTTCTGCCTGTCACCAGCCCCCAAATGCTATTGTGATCCTCAGACAGACAGCGGCGTAGCTTGCTTACATGTTACTCTTATAGAGATGCTATTCTCAAAACTATAGGGGAGGTTGGGGAAGAAACTGTGAGAAGTGACTGAGCACTCACTTGTTCATAAACTGTGGAGGCCCATTTCCCACATAGAAAAGGAAGGGGCTTTTCAACCCTTTTTTCCCCACAGACTTGAGCACTGTATTTCAGTTCCTCCATTTGCAAGATAGCCCTGTGTGTATTTCCATCATCCAGAAAACCCCACTTTTTAACAGCACTAATTTTATGCTCAAAAAACTATTATTGCATGCTTGCAGTACTAAGCCAAAATATCTTGAGCACAGAAATGAAAATAGAATTCGTTATGAACTAGGGACTGTATTAAATTAACTTCTTAGCCATTTGTATAACCAGTTGTGAGTTTTTGCTTGTAACAGGATTTCATTACTGTACATATGAAAACAGTTTGGAGCCCCCTGCTGGCTAAAGTTATAACATTGGACAAATCCTACAGTTATGTACGTGGTTAAAAATGCATGCATAGGCCTACTGATGTAAACTGAATGACTTGCATACTTAAAATGTACGTGCACATTTCTAGGGGAAAAAATCCTTCACAATAAGACCCCAACTCTTGTGGCAAACCCTATAATTCTGCACAAGTACAGAAAATTGCTCAGGGTTGGAACCCAAGTCTCTGTGTTAGCTACAATAGCTACTGACATGGCCAAAAGTAAAGAATCAAAATCAAAAGCTCCCACACTATTCTTAACCATCATTCCAGCTTAACTCCTGCCCCACCCCAAAAAAAAAAAAAAAACAACCAGCCAACCAACCAAACAAAAACACACCATGTTGCACACGTGACATTTTTTGATCAGCAGGAGCTCTCTCTGAAGCAATGTCTACATTTTAGACAGAAGTTAGGTAGTATAGGAGGGTCAGCTCTTACATGCGATTGAAATTAAATTTAAAATTTAAAATGTATTAAATAGGAAGTGAGACTATATGGCTTCTATTCCCTTTTTGGAGCACTAAAACAGGACAGACAGATCCAAGAAATTATCTTCTAAGCAGCTTGTTTGGACTTCTCACTACTTCAGGCTGCTATCACGCATACAAAATCTAACCACAAGCTCCTCCTTGCTTATCTTAGAGGAAAAAACACCTCTCCTATTCTGTCAACAAGGTGTGGAGAAATATAATCCTCTGGCTGAGGTGTGGTAGGTACAGGAATTCTCAGTAACCTTGCCCTAAAGAGCAGGGGTGTATTGAAACTTCATTTTATAACGATAAATGTCTGAAGCAGAACTAAATGCATTGCTTCACCCATCACACAGTTTAATGTACTTATATTGTGTTGGAGTGGGAAGATATGAAGGTGCATGGCACAGCATGGCAAGGTGTGGTGTTAGAATTAAGATTCCCCTCTATCTTTGATCTAAAATTTCATAACTGCTATCGTTCTCAGAAAGCAATAAATTATTCCCCCTCCTCCTCCTCCCTTCCTACACAGTGTGGGACGTATATGATGATTATATGGTACTGCCTTAAGTTTATCCTCATTAATAATGTTTGATATTTGAGGAACAATAGCCAATTAATAGGTTTATGCCATCTGCTGGTCAAATGCTTTAATTGTTCAGCACTTTGAGCTGTCAAGATTCACATAAAACTTAGCTCCATGGTTGGCAATATGTTAGAATTACAGTGTTGCATTTACAAAAGTTACAGAGGAATGGCTTTCTTTTCCAGATCTCTTATTGTATTAAGTTATTGCTTGCCTTATCATAAAAAGAGATGTACATCCATTACAGTGTTGAGGCTTGGTGTGAATACAAGGGCTAAAAAAAAAAAAAAAGCAACACACCAAACAAGATGATCAATATTTGACTTACCATTATAAAAGATGTCTAAACCACGAGTGGGATCCCACTGTACTACAGGAGCACAGGCAGAGGTTTTCAGCTCCAAAATATTACTCCTGCAACCTTGGTTCCACAGAAAATGCTCTGTAGTGCTCTGAAGGACTCAGATCCCACAGAGTAGAAGCGATGGGGTAAGAGTAGGGTACATCTTACAGTAAGAAGACCTGTTATTTGTAGGGCCTGGTTTAAACTGCGATTTTGCATTTTTCATGAAAATCATGAAATTAAGTGATTTTCATGAAAAATATGGCTTGCAATAAAATACCACAATATGGCCACTTGCTGGAAAGTTTCCCAGCAAGCAGCCATAACAGCATTTCATTGCAACATGATGGCTACTGCTGGCTCCGGAAAGCATCTCTTAGCCAGCAACAAAAGCCTAGCAGGGGAGGTGGGAAGGGGTTGTAAAAAGGACAGGGGGAGGATGGGGAGGGGAGAGGAGGGGCAGGAAAACTGGGCCCTGGGTGGTTGGGGTTAAGGGAAGAGAACACACGTGAGGAATAAAAACAGCCCCTCCCCTACCTGGTGCCAGAACCATCTGCCCAGGCAGCCCCCAGGTTCCCCCAACCCCCCAGGCCCCAGTTTTCCTGTCCGGAGGAGCAAACAGCCCCCCCACCTCCCCATCCCCAAGCTCTCTCCTCCCCATCTTCTTCCAGAGAGGCAGGGGAAGGGGGGAAAGGCCTCTGCTGCTCCAATTAAATCTGGCCCTAAACCTGCCAATCAGAGGGCATGCAAGGGGGTGGGGCACTACAATCTGGGTGCAAAAACAGCAGCCTCTACCACAATAGTAGCAAGCTGGGCCCACTGTTTAAACCAGGCCCTGCCTATTTAGGCAATATGCACAGACACTCAGGCTGCTTGCAGACATTAAGAACACAGTGCTTTACTTTCAACTCAGCAAACTCCTGCGCCAAGCCCTGCACATGCCCAGAAGAGGCAGCACCTTAGTTGGACCTTGCTCACCCAACATCTGTAAAGATCAAATGCTTTGGTGAGGCTTTTTTGGTGCTTTAACTAATAGCTGATTGAATCAGCTCTAGCTAAAAGCACCAAAAAACCCCTCTGAAGCACCCAGTCTACACTGCAGAGCTGGCTCAAAGTAGCATGCTGCTTCTTCTGTTAAAGCACAGTTTTGTTTTGTTTTAGCATCTGCAAATTAATCTGTAAGGCTGCAGGTACCCAAGAACAAAATTAAAATTCTTGAAACCGCTGTCCAGCTGCTGTCTATTTCTGGAGTTACCCATATCCATAGACACCTATGATTTTACCAAGGAAGTTTCCTAGGTGTCTAAAGTCCAAAGTCCTTACAGTGCTACGTGGGAGGTGCAGTAGACTTATAAGCTGGGAGAAGCATTCTGTCAGAGACAAGAAGTGTTTAGTCAGAGAGAAGGAAGGTCATGGCATGGAGACCCTACAATTTCCACAAACAAGACACTCCTCTACCATCTTACCTGCAGGGCTCAGTCAGATAGTTGTTTTCATCTATGAAATTAATTTCCATGAATAAAACCAGAGGAAGAAAGAGCCCTTTTATCCAATGTCTCAGATGTTAGAGCGCTCAGCAGCCAGGTGGGACCCTGAGATTCAATTCAAGCACCCACAGCAGTTGATGCACCTGCTAACCACCAGGTTAATCACCAACACACATAACAAACATGGCTCCATATCCTGGAATTTGGTGGCAGGCTCCACTCCTACTCGCCCCTCCCCTCTGGCACCCATGAGTTCCTGGCCCCTGAGACCAGATGATATGGCTCCAGAGGCCAAGTCCAGCTTACAGACCAGATATTTGATATCCCTGCTACAGGCTATTCTTGGCTGGGAGGAGTCTCAGTCCTTCCTGTTCAGGTATATCTGTTAAAAACATTCTATTTTGCATAGAGTAATTAAATAATTATTGGACGAGAGAAAGCAAATTGGTAGTTAGGGAGGAGATATCAGTTCTAACTTTCTACTCCACTGAATGGTTAAAAGCATTTTATTTTAAATATTTGTTATGGAGTCACTTACTCTCTCCAACCCAATGACTAAAATTATTCTAGTTTTGGACTTTGGTCTCCCACACTCTAACTTGGTTCTAACCACTGAGAATAGCAAATGGAGACTACTATCTCCTTCATCCATGTCTTACAGAAGAGAGCTGGCAAAACAGAGGCATCAAAATCAATCTCCAGACCAGTTTTGCAGCCACTGACCACAGTCAATTTGGATTACTCTGTGATTTAGGTACCAACCACTTAAGTGCTGTTCATATGCTAACAAGATCAGTTTGGATCTGGTCTGAGGTATCTGAAGTTATGCACTGCAGTGTCTAGCAGTGCAATATCAAAACTGTTTTGTGGCTCCAATCCTCACTTCCCATTCTGCTCTGTGAAACTCTGAGGACTTCTAAGCTGGGAGAAGCATTCTGTCAGAGACAAGAAGTGTTTAGTCAGAGAGAAGGAAGGTCATGGCATGGAGGCACTGAACACAACAACAGAGTGTTCCCATACCTAAAATGTAAGGCCCCTGGCTCCAGCGGTGGAATTCACAAATTCAAGGTAGACACCTACATTAATTATATTTTAAATGGGGAGAATTCAGCAGCTAGGATGGGGATTCATTACAGTCTGTCAAGCATGGGGACACCAAACCAGTTGAGAAAACACTAAAGAAAGTCTGATACACCATCCAAAGGTATAACTAGCAGGGTTTGTGCCCTGGACAAAACCCTGCCAGAGAAACAGGGAAATTAAATTAGCTATTAGATACAAATTCCAGAATGCCCTGCTGAGACGTGAGCTATACAGACCCTGGATGAGCCGGGTCAAACTGATGCAATGCCTCTTCTGGGCATGTACTGTGCTCAGCATGTGGACACACAGAGCTAAAAGTAAAGCACTGTTTTGGGTCCCTGCACCCCCTCTATGTCTCTAAGCAGCCTTAAAGTTTATGGAGTTTAAATTCAGAGTCTGTATCCCTAACTCCTATGCTCAATAGCTACTGATGCTCCTTTCCTCCAATTTATACAATCCCTTTCTGAAACTGGCTAAACTGTCAGCTTCCACAGTATCTGATGGCAATGAGTACCACACTTCAATTATGTGCTGCGTGAAAAAACTTTTGTTAGTTTTAAACTTGCTACCGACTAGTTTTTTGTGACCCCCTAGTTCTTGTATTGTGCGAGAGTAAATAATAAGTCTCTATTTCTTTGCCATTTAGTATTTTGTAAACCCTTCTCATGTCCTTCCTCAAGCATCTCTTTTCTAAACTGAATAGGCCAAGCCTCCTCAGTCTTGTTATGTGGAAATCCCTCTGTACCACTAATCATACTTGTTGCTCTTCTCTGTACCATCTCTAGTTCTTTTATATCCTTTTTGAGGTGTGGGCACCTGAATCCGGCACAGTATTCAAGGTGTGGACACTCCATGGATTTACTAAGGGTCATGATACTTTTAGTTTGGTTTATATTGCCTTTCTTAACAACCCCTAACATTTTGTTCACCTTTTTGATAGCTGCTGAGCAGTGAGCCAATGTTTTTAATGAACTGTCCACAACAACTCCCACATTTCTTTCTTGTGTGGTAACAGCTAATATAGTGATAACAATGATAGCATAGGTATGGTTGGTTATTTTTGTTTAGGTGCATCACATTACACATACCTACATTGAATTTCATCTGCCATTTAGTTACCTATGAACTCAGTTGCACCAAATCCTTGTGTAGTTCCTCACAGTCCATCTTGGTCTTTGCCACTTTGAATAATTTGATCATCTGCAGATTTGGCCATCTTACTGCTTAACCCCCTTTGCCACATCATTTATGAATATGATAAACTGCACTAGTCCCAACACTGATCCTTGAAGATCCTGCTGCTTGCTTCTTTCCATCCTGAAAACTGACCATTTATACTTACTCTTTGCTTTCTATCTTTAAGTCAAGTTTTAATCCACAAATGGACATTTCCTGCAATCCTACAACTACCTAATTTAATTAAGAACCTCCGATGTGGAGGGACCTTTTCAAAGGCTTTTTAGAAGTCCAAATATATTATGGCAACCGGATCACCCCAATCCACCTGCTTATTAACAACCTCAGAGAACTCAAAAAATCTTAGGAAATTCCTAGTGCAGAGAAGACTTGAGTATTCCCTGAAAACATTAATAAATCTAGCTCTTGAAGGATACATAAATATACATAAAGGATTTACTCTAAATTATACATAAATGTTGGGCTGGTCTTTTTCTTCCCCTCTTTATGACACAAGGTTTAAATTTTAATTAGAAAAAAAAAAAAAAGGATCTGGAATGTTGTTCCGCTTGGGTTTTTGTGTGTGTTTGTTTTTGTTACTGTTAAAAATATCCGGAACGTCAAGTCTGATCTCAGTGAAAGAAAAGAGCTACTGTGAACTTTGTGCCTCAAGTTAAAGGAGGAAGCAAGTTAATTAGTTAAGCTACCCTTTCTCCATTCAAGCCACCTCCCTACTTCTTTTAAAAGAAGAAAAGGTTTGGAGTATTTTTCACATGCACTGTTAAGAAGCAAAATAGGTACAGTACATTTTACCTTCTTTCACTGGTGTTCTTTAAGCTATTCAATAAGGCAGAGAAATTCAGGTGTTCACTATGATAAACACCTTTACTCTAATTTAGTTTAAAAAGAGGGGGAGGGGGACATGCACAGATGGGGAGAGGAAGTCTTCACTTAGGCTATACTTACAATTAGGCCTTGCCACCATCTTTCAAAGGAGTATGGCACTGCTCAGGAGTAAGAGGCTGCTCTGTATTTCCAACTATTTTATTTTAAAAGTTAGTGAAGTAGCACTTAACAGAAACCTTCACTACTTTCTTCTATGTAGATAGAAAATAAGAATGCCAGTGATACAATTTCTACCCTACAAATTCAAGTTGATGATGTTAAAAATGTTATGACCAAAAACATCGATAAGGTTTTACAAAGGGAAGAAAAACTGAGTGAGCTTGTTGACAGAACAGATGATCTCCAAACAGTGGTAAGTGATACAATTTCTCATGCAGCCTGTACATTTGACATGCACAAAGGCTTTAGATTAACTCCTTAATTTTGGTGAAGTTCTATGAGTTTATACAGTCTTTACTAAAATAAAGTAATGGTCAACATAAACATAATTCTTTACAGTGAGAGCTGGCAAAATATGGAATGGGCTTCCAAGGGAGGTAGTGCTTTCCTTTACCGTGGAGGTGTTCAAGAAGAGATTGGACCTAGCGCTCTTTCCTGCCTCGAGCCTCAATGATCTACCTGGTCCCTAATGATCTTCCGGCCTCAATGATCTACCAGGTCCTTTCTGACCCTAGAAGTCTAGGAAATCTATAAAATATCTCTTTGCTTCTGTTGACAATTACACAAGTTTTCAGGGACAGAAAGAAAATGTTAGAATATTGCATTAATGCATACTACAGGAAAATATCACTATACTAGTATGTGAACTGTAAGATTTCTTTAAGAAACAAGTTTCTTTCCTGTGAGTAATTTAATGTAATGTTTCTAAGCTTTTAAACACTCATTAGCTGTTCACCTTTAGAGGAAAATTGTTTTGAACATTTAAGTGAACCTTTCCAAACAAACCTATTTTATGGAGGTTGCACAAGACCTGTTACTAGAAGAAACTACATTTTGCCTCAGACCTTCACCTTTCATTGGCATGCAAATCTTTTAAATGCAACCATAGAGGTTCAGTAGAAAGAACCTATAGGGTTTTTTGGTTGTTATTTTTTTGAACTGGTGAGTATGGAAAACTGTATATACAGTGCAATTAAAAATGAAAAAACCATCAATTCAAATTAGCTGAATAAAGTTCCAGTCCAATCTCACAATTCAGAAAAGTATTTATACTGTTAGATTTATTTTTATTGCAATGGGGGAGTGGGTGGCAATTAAAACAGGTCATTCTTGGTGACACTCCACAGTCTGTATACCTGTCAAATACGCTTCAGGGTTTTTTTGTGTGGATATTTAAAAACAAATTTTCTGTACAAGTGTTCAACAGATCCAGTTCCTGAGAAATAAAATTTGTCATTTTGCTTTCAGGCTGATGCTTTTCAAAAAACATCAACAAAGATTTCCAGGAAGATGTGGTGGAAAAACTTCAAAGTGATTATATTAATTGTTATTTTCCTTCTTATTTTAACATTTATTATCCTCTTGGCTACAGGTGTTATCCCAACATGAACTTTTATACTTTTCGTGTTGAACAGTAAACAAGTCTTGTATACATTTTATCTAAAAACTCTCTTTATAGATTTATTTATGCTTTGTTACATTTGTATATTATTAAAAGAAAAAAAAATACTGGAAATCCCCCCAATCAGTTTGCTTCCTTTTCTTTATACAGTTCTCCAAAAAGCCGTAAGGAAATGAGTGTCATTTTAGCCGTGTGTGTACGTGTAGTAAATCTGATAGGTAGCTTAAGTGATGTCTTGCAGAACATACTGTAGTGCAGGATAGCTTAATAATCAACTCAGAGACCTGAATAACTGAGAATCTTAAAAATATAGGCCACTTGCAGATATGAAAAACAAAAATGAAAACAAAAAACATGCTTTAAAACTTGGCACAGTCCCATACCCAGCCCAGCACATGCCCAGAAGAGGCAATGCGTTAGTTGGACTCTGCTCACTTAACATCTGTATAGATAGTCTGCTTTTAGTGGGGCTTTTATCTAATTTTTTCTATCATATCCTTCTAATCTAAATATGAAAAGGTGACCATGAGGTCATGAGTCCATTTCTTGTGATGCATACCAAAATACAGAGCAACCCAGAGCATGGCATGGGAAACCATTTTGCTCAGCATGCCACAGCTAGTCCAGACCCTGGGCAGGCCCTTGCCACCATCCATGGAGCCTGGGCTGCTCACAGCAGGCAGCTGCACTGGGGTCTATGTAGCCCAGGCCTAGCTTATGCGCGCACCTGTTGCTGGCTACACCTCAGGGCAAATGGCAGGGAAGGGACTGGAGCTGTGCCGTCACAAGGATTGGGCCCCTTGTGGCTCCCTCACCATCCACCCCTGCATGCCAATATCTTATAAGTCAGGGTTGCAGAGTTTTTTGGTACTCTACCCAAAGACATTGCTGACCCTAGATAGAGGGTGTTATGCTATGCAGTATCTAGGGCTTCAGACAGGTGAGATCTTAATTCTATAGCTATAACAAATCACAAAGAAATACTTAAAGTAGGACTAGGACTCTAAACTAATTTCAGTCCACTCCACTGTTTTGTCTCTTGTGCAAATCATTTAACCTCTCTGCAGCTTTCCTACATATCTCATTGCAGCAATCTATTTTGTGAAGCTTCCAATAACTAAGTCTGAAAGAGAGGGAGAGGGGGGTTAGTTTTGCATGAAAAATAAATTTAATGTAGCTTCTTATGGTTGAAACTAGTTTTTCTACAGATCTACATAAACTTAGATTTCATAGACATTAGGGCTGGAAGGGACCTTGTGAGATCATCTGGTCCAGCCCCCTGCCCAAGGGCACAAAGTCAGCTGGGGCCAGACCCCAGCACAATAATGTTCCAAATGCATCTTGAAATGTGTCCCAAGTGCTTGCACCACTTCTGGGGGGAGTCTATTCCAGACTCTGAAAATTTGTACAGTAAAGAAGTTCTTCCTTATGTCCAGTCTAAAACTGTCTTCCAGCAGTTTATGATCATTGGACCTTGTTTTCCTTAGGGGAGCCCTGGTAAACAGAATATTTTTCAAGGAAGGAGTTTAGGACTTCTTTTGTTTGGAGTTGGTGTCATTTTGCCAAGCACAAGAGGCCTTGCACTTGCAGTCAATCAACTCTTGGATCTACTGGTCACTCTCATCAAGCCAGCCTTGATGTTTCCTGGTAGATAATCCAAATGTCTTCACAGGCACTGACGACAGTGGCCTTGAGGCCACCCTACATGCTGCTGACATTCTCCCATTGTTGTTGATTAGAATTCACCAGTTTTGTTCAGGCACTAGTGGGAGGGGTCTTGCTTGCTTGGGTCCTCAAGTTCTTTAACACTGATGTTCTATCAGCATTGCTTCTGCTGCAGCTGTCATTTGGGTACCAGTTTGAGTGACATAGCTGAGCAGAGTTGGTGATCAATCCACTCCTAGCTCAGGTGATATGGATACCTTTGTCATTATCTGTGCCCCAGATTGCATATTCAAATCAGGTGTCAAAGCTTAGATCATGAGTGTAACCATGATGTCTTGTGCCTGTTTTTTTTTTGGTGAAACAAGGTCTTGGTGATGGCAAGTCCATGTTCAGTGCATTTGATCAAGGAGGATGCCATTGGAGTTGACCTTACCTACTCCTTCCTCAACTTACTGGGAATCTGCAGAGCTGAATGAGCACAAAGTGATGGCTTTCTTGCTTTCCAGCTGTAACATCAACATGAATGATAGCTAAACACACAAAATACTCCACATAAATCATTGCAACAGTGGAAATAAAGCTTTATGCAAGCATGACTAACAGGAACATACATAAAGGAACTAAAGTAGTGGCAGTAGTCAACACTGCTGTCCAAAAGGGACTTTTTCACAGAGTAATCAATTAATCAAGTCTCAGCTTGGGCAGGGGCCTAGAGACAGCACATCTCCCTCCAAAAAAATCAACATTGCCTTAAGAGATGTTGACCCTGACACAAGCAGATGGGGGGGGGGGGGGG